TGTTTTTTGGAACCTGTTTTGCACAATCCTGAAAGCTTCGAAAAGATGTTCTCTGTCTGTGTGTATGTGTGCGTGTGTTTGTGTTTGCGTGTGTGAGTGTGCACATGTGCGTTTCTGTGTGTGTTTGTGAGTGTGTGTGTGTGCGTGCGTGCGCGCGCGCGTGTGTGTGTGTGTTTGTGTGTGTGAGACAGAGAGCACATGTGCGTGTGTGCATACATGCCTTCGTGTGTGATTATGTTACTATCATTTTCTTTATACCTAACCTCAAGATCGTGGACTAGAGTCTCTCTTTATCTTGGACACGGCATCTGACGCAGCATGCGGTCCTGTAAATGCTATTTTCATATAAGAATAGTTGCAAGAACTGTTTACGCAATTAACTTTATTCTCAACAGGGGGTAACAAATGATCAAGAAGTCCCCTCCCCCCACCCCGTCCTAAAATTTAAGAGACCATTACAGACTCATCCGTCAGTACGCTAAGCTCGGCCATGGAAACTTTACCCCACGCTAGTACAAATTCTGTGATACACAATAATAATAACAATTTAAAAAAAATTAGTAATAATGATGATAATAATAATAATAATAATAATAATAATAATAATAATAATATAATATTAATGAAAGCTTGTCCGCCAATTCTGACGATGACCAATACATCCAGAGAAAAGACTATTTCTCTAACGAAATAAATCTGTTAGAAGAAATAAAGGTTAAGATGACTTGTGGCTTAAATTCTTCTGTGACTGATGAGACCAATTCTGGCAGAGAAAAGTGTGCCACATTTTGAACATTTTAGTATTTTAAAAGCTCCACTTCCATTGTGGATGTTCGCAGCTTGCGGACTTCTCTCTTGGTTTCAGCTTTAGTTGTGAAGCCTCACTTTATGATTTGCTGCCCACTGTGACGGCTGCTCTCCTCCTGAGTCTGTGATACACCTCTAATACAATCAACGAGGGGCAGTTTCTGCGGTGGAGCCCAGCCTGTCAAGTCCCAACATGTAGAGAAGGGAGATTTCCCTTGCTGTGATGACATGCCGATAGTGAAGAATGGTATGTTATATAATCAAAGTTGGTATTCAAGTCGACAGCAGTGCTGTGATCACGGTTTGAATCTCTAGGGGAGGTATTCTCGAACCTTGAGGGAGTGACGAATTTTCAAGGTTTCATACTTACTTCAAACAGTCCTATATAAAGGCATGTTAGACTGGGGTGGCTCTAGTTTGAGTAAAGAGATAATGTCAGTCTTTTCATGTTAGGAAGGGCACAAAATTATTTTTTTTTTAAATCAAGGTCTTTACTTTGCTCCATTGATGTAATTTAGATCAGTAGAAGTTAGGCTTCCAACCTGAACCGAGAGAGGTAGGCCTACAACATCCCAGTGGAAAGACTTAAAATTTTTCCCCACTCGGGAATCAAACTATAGGGTCCCCTGTGTGTGACAGTAAAATGCCTAACTGCTACACCACAGACGCCAGTAGAAGCAACAAGACTTACAAACAAATAAAATGTGCAGAGTAAAGAAGTATGACCTTCTAATGCTCCTATAACACCCTTCAACCATAGGTTCCTTCTATGTCAAAATGGGTGCTTTACTTTAACCTATACAACCACCAATGGTCAGCTGTACAACCCAGTAGAGAGCCTTTGCATGTATATATATGAGTAACAAAAGTGCCAGTAAAAGTCAACACAGAATATGAGAATTAGAAGAAAAAGACTAAAGTAAAAAAAAAAAAAAGGTAAGGGGAGGTTAAGATCACACACAATCAATTAATATATCATAAAAAAACAAACAAAATGAAGCAATTGTTGATTTTCGAAAATGTTTAATAAAAAATAGGTGATTTCCAAAAAAATTTGAAGGAATGATATGTCAGATGAGCAAGTCGCACGGCAGTGAACAAGGACGGAATGATCACATTACAATGATAATTCTGATCAGAGGGCACACAATATACAATTATAACAAATTCCCACTTTAAGAGAAGCAAGTACACAAAATGATCAGTCCACAAAACTATTGGTGCTTCATAGAGTGACAGCAGCGTACATTCTATGAAACAAATATGTACTTGTTCTATGTAAATGAATGCATCTGCGCAGTTAAGTAGTGTATTGTGGCCTATGAGTACTTTCACACTGACTGAGCAGCTGAAAATTTCAAAATAAATATTTTGGGTAAATGTAAGTGCTTTTACATTCACCATCGGCACAATTCTGACCATTTAGTAAGAATGTAATGCCCCAGAAGAAAGATTGAGATACCCAATGAAAATTCTCCCTTCACGGTAATCAAACCACTAGGTAAAAAGAAAAAAAAAATCCCTCTGTTCTGTATTAATAAATTGAATAACTGTTAAAAAGTTAAAATAAACATAACAGAGCAGTCTGAAAGGTCAAAGAAGATATCGACTGCTCAATGTAAGACTAGGTCATACATTACTTTTCAAAATAGCATATGGCAGAGTCTTGCACTAAGCTGTTGAAGTGTTCTATTTTTTAAAAAACATGGCTATGTAAAAATCAGCTACACTGCAGGTTGAAAAACCAACAGCTGACTACCTGTAAGATCAAACGCGGGGTGTAGAACAAAGAAAAAGGACTTGTCACATGTGATTTACATCTAATAAAAAAAAAGAAAAAAAGTTGCCTCTGTCCAACAACTGTTTTTCTGTTCAAATTACGAAATTATCCATCTTCATCTTTGACAACATGTCAGTTTGCAGAGACAAAAAGGGAGACAATTTTTAATCAGGTTTCATAGAAAACTTTTGATGCCTTGCTCCCAGTCTGGGTCTCAATGAATAAAGCATTTTTTAGACTCTCAACTCACATTTCAACAATTATACATTCTCATATATTTAAACTCTGATACATTCACAATCATGACAGACTCACACCAATGCATAATTACAGCTCTTTAGATATTCTATCACGATTTAACCTCTTGTTGTTTTATCTTCTCCATGGCATTGAACAGCAAATCACATGCCTGCTTGTGCTTTTTCCAGTGACCAACTTGGCATTCCCTGACAATAAAAAACAGACTTTTGTCATGACCCTACATGATGAATGCGGTATATATACATACTCATGTGTTTTTATATTCACCTTGAGAATTTGAAAAAAAACCCAAAACATCTGATAGTATTTACTAAATCTGCAACAAGACAAGATCTTTAAATTCATCAAACCTGCTCTTGTCTTACAGCCACCTGTATAAGACAATCACCTGTACAAACGACCTCTTCCCATTTCCTCCCTTGTGTATTTTTTTACATTCTAAAGACACTGTACGTATGTAAGACGGCAATCTATGGCCACTATTCTATTCAGCAATAGGTGGTTGTCATAGACAGTTTCAACTGTATTAGATTCTAGTTTTCACTCTCCTGTCAAATTGACATCAAGTTTTTAAAGCTGAATCAGAGCTGATTAGAAGAAGCGGCACGTGTTGATAGGTGTTGGTGTTTCAGAGTGGATTTTCATAGGAATTACCTCACAGGTGACCAAGTATATTAACCAGCTTTATCCTTACAAAATATAACTTTATCATTGTGGACACGCACTTTATAACTGTAATTCATTATCATTACTAATAGGTTTATTTAGATGGCCTATGGCTTTTGTAAAAAACAATTATAACAAAATCAGTGGGACGTGGAATCTTTTCGTTATGACGAATTTATGTGTTTTAAAAATCGGTACAAAGAATATACATATATAAGAAAAATTCAGGAACTGAGGATCCGTTTGATCTGTGTGCGTGATCACCATAATGTGTGTGCAAGACGGTATGCGCTTGTTAGAATCAAAAGAAACTTAATTGTTATTCTATTTTTCACCCTAAAAACTTCATAGTAATTAGTTTTTAATGAGTTTATATATATTTACAAATCATATGTTGCTTCTTACCTTCTGCAATACCACTCATTCTGGCAGCGCGAGCATCGTTTACTGGCAGGCTGACCACATACTGCACACTTTGGAGGCTCGGAGACAAGTTCTTCCAACACATCAAAGTTGTATGTTGAAGCCCATCTGAAATGTCGAGTGTAGAAAGATATATAAGCTTTACCACTTAACCCTGATCATTTTGACTC